GGAGGGGGTAAGCAGGGGCACATGTCCCCCGGGAGCCGAACACCTATCAATTAGCAATCCCGGAAAATGGTCATTGTTTTCTGGCGATACTTTGCTGCACATTTTCGACACTGTGTCGACTGTCGGTCGATGACTTCATGTTGGCGATTCGACTACGTGAGGTGAGATACATTACAGAGGAAACGGCAGGCAACAAGGTTCTGCCCAAAACTTACTTGCTAGGCTCGCTCTCTATTAGGCATGAAAGTGGACTTATTTATTTATATTAATAAAATTTGAATAACGACAAGTGTGCTTGAAAAAGACCCATAACAAACCAAATACACGTTGTTTTACACGAGTGAGCGGATGGTAAAAGACCAGACGTGTACTAATTCGTCGAAAAGAAATAGATTGAAACGTTAGGGATGACGTCATCAGGAGGGGATGATAGGAAGTAAGTGAGCACCAGTGGGCATCACGTGACCAGTAACGACTCCATCCGCCCGTCAGCCCGCCACGCCCCGCCCACCCCTACACCACCCCACCCGTATCGGCAACTCCTAGTGTATTATTTACAGGCGCACGAAGAGGTCCGCGGCCGGGTCGAGCTGAGGTGATGCTGCAGCCTGTCGGATGAGGGCGGCAGGTACTCCCGACCCACTTATCCCCCAGCAGGAATGTGACCCGACGGGAACACGGTCAAAGCAAGAGTCGTCTGATGACTAAATAGGACTTATGTCTAAGCAGCCAACCTAGGGCTGGGCGGTTTTTTTATTTCAATATCAATACCCAATATTTTAAAATATTGAAATATCTTCAATATCAATATCCTGTATTGAATATTGAAATATTGAAAAAATTGAAATATTGAAACGTAAAAATATTGAAAATATTGAAGATTTAGAATATTGATTTGGTATGTTTGTTTTCTGGCCTTGTCAGAGGCAGAAATCGTCTACTCTTGCACCGTGCGGTTTATAAAAGAGGCAATTTCACACGATATACAACAAAAAGGGACAACAT